GGCAAGCACCGCTGTGGTTGACATGGGGTTTCAGGACATGCGGTATACTCCAGAACTATAGCGGAGGCCAGAGGACAAGGAGTCTTAAGAAATGGGCGGGGACCCCACCTGCTTGAATGGGCAAGTCTGTCCAAAAGGTGAAGGGAACCCCTCAGGATAGCATGGAGGACCGTGTATAAGGGAAGTCCCAGGGAGGAAGGGTCCAGTGCCTGGATAGGCTGCCTTGAAGTTGACAGTGCAGCAAGCTCGAGTGGCCCAGAAGCCGAAGCAGGCCTCGGGTCGTCCGGAACATGATCGACTTGAACGGGAACTGGATCGTCTCGAACGGGAACAAGATCGTCCCGAACAGGTACAGGATCGTCCCGAACAGGTACAGGATCGTCTGGACCTCCTGGAATCGGATCGTCTGGACCGCCTGGAACCGGATCATTTGGCACTGGATAAGAGACGGCTGGAAATGGAGCGGCTGGAACGGGATCATGATCGGCTGGAACGGGATCGTCTCCAACAGGAACGGGATCGTCTCCAACAGGAACGGGTAATCGGATCGTCTGGACCGCCTGGAACCGGATCATTTGGCACTGGATAATAGACGTCTGGAAATGGAGCGGCTGGAACGGGATCATGATCGGCTGGAACGGGATCGTCTCCAACAGGAACGGGATCGTCTCCAACAGGAACGGGATCGTCTCCAACAGGAACGGGATCGTCTCCAACAGGAACGGTATCGTCTCCAACAGGAACGGGATCGTCTCCAACAGGAATGTCCTGAACAGCAACAGGATCGTCCCGAACAGGAACGAGAATCGGCTGGACTGGAAGGGGAACCGGCTGGACTGGAATGAACCCTGAGTATCTAAAACGGTCATCCACAGTCTCATCCTCAGAGCAGTTACTCCAATCCTCATCATCCGAACAATCGGTCCATTCTTCGAGCTTTTCAGCTTCTGACCGATACTTGGCTAAGAGACATGAGGGGTCTTGCTGGGCTGCCTTGGGAACAGGTGTAACTGAATCCCAGACAGGTACTGTTGGTACGGGAAACTGGGAGCGGATTTGTTCATCAGGAATAACAAAAGTCCCTGCGATTGTCATGGGCAACATGGTTAACCCCGATCGGGCTTTGGAAAAGGGGCTACACTGCCTAGACCGTATGTCACACCCGCAGGTGAGTACTGGAGCTGCAGGTTCCTGACAGTTCCAGGCTGCTGGAGACACCCGCAGGCGAGCACAGGAACTGCAGAACCTGGCTCCAGCGCCACCTTGGGGTGCTCTGGATCCTGACACAAACACATGTCTAATACCTATGTATTAAATATTTTGGAAATATTTTTGGGCACAATGCAATGTGGTACTTTGAAAAAAAGAAGCTTACAAGCTATATTAATAAACTGTTGTGCCACTGGCCAAATATGCAGTTTAGAGCTATCCTTTTTAACAGTAAACTTTGCTATAGTTTTGTAGATCCGTTGTGGCTGCCACTTCCACTGGTCAATTCAGGTCTATTATCACTTGATGAAAAAAAGATCGGGTGTTACAGCTAAAACTACCTTTTAAATTTTCTTGTTTTTGTTTTTTTTTAGTTGAAATGACTCATATTGTGGTGCTGTTGTATTTAAGCCAAGCTAGGTGTAAACATTAAAAAAACTATTGCACATCCAAAATACAATATGTGATACAGGAATATCGTTTCACTGACGCTGTGCATGAAAATAAAACTCTCTTGTAACACAGCATATAGATTAAAGGCATCCCCCGGCATGGAATTGAAAGGATTGGTGTTTTTTCATGTCACCTTAGAACTTGCATTAAAAAGACCCTCTCTCCACTATTGTATTTATTCTTTTTTTTTTAGCGTTGTTAAATGCCCCCCCATGGCAGTGCCCCCACTCCTTATGCCCTTTTTTTTCAGTAGCTTGCCTACTAGCCATGAAAATGACCAGAATTTAGTATATAGATTCTCCCCCAATAGGTTAATTAGTATTAATTATTTATAGATGCTAAGTTCAGGTTTAGCAGGCAGACTAACTCATCCCTTCTGTTTACTAACTAATTAGGGCAAAGTACAAAATGTATTAACCCTTGCAGTGGGGCTACACCTGGGCTGCAAGGGTTAATCTTTGCCTAGGGTCAAAAATAAAAGTTATACTCACCGGACCCACTGAGCTGGCTTGTTCTTAGACCAGTCCATGGAGCCTCTTCCCCCCTCCGCTGCAGCAGTCTAAGGTCCTGAGTCATCACATTCTATACACAGTTTGTAGGACGTGAAGACACCAAGGGACATACCATCACTGCAACGTAGGAAGAGACATGCAGGAGGGAGCAATGTTTACCAAAAAAAACAAGCACTTAACCCTTGCAGCACGGGGGTAGCCCACTTCAACGTTAATACTTTTTTTACCCAGAGTTCCACTTTAAGGTTTTCTATGTCCACTTTCCTCTACTCTATAAGTATTCTCCTCCTCTTCAGTCAATGTCCAATCATATTCCCTATGCAATCATTCTTTTCCACTTCCATACACATTCCCTGTCTTTTCTGGTCAATTTCATCCACTTTTGTGGTGATTCTCCCTCCCTTGAGCTCTTCTCTGGTTGTTCTCATTCTCTTCCATCTCTATACATTCTTCTTCCCTATAGAATCATTCTCCTCCATACCCCCACTCCTATCTAAAGATTCTCTCTATAATTCATTACCTCTACACCCATTCATACATGCTCTCCATGCCTCTCTGAGCATTCTCCTTAATTTCATTGCTGGATGGATAAGTTACTATTAAATTCTAGATGGATGACCGCTCTTCATAAACCCACTCTTCAGAAATGCCCAACAGAATGAATTCACTGAAGGTAAGTACCTAAGAGCAGAAACGCTACACTATAAACATCTAGGGGATGTGAACAGCCCAGTAGTTAGGGCTAGATTTGTAGCCATTTTTCCTTGACATTTGTATTAAGGAGAAAACAGAGAAACCCCTCACAATAAGTGTGGGTGGACCTGGGAAATTTGTTGTTTAGCTTTTTTTAAAGGAGATTTCCACAGAAACTTAGATCAGTGTACATTGTAATTTGCCTCTGACATCAGTCTGTGAAGCATTTTGCTAGATGTGAAAGGCAGTGTTCACATTTTAAATTGGACCTTATGGAACAGTATACAGTATACACAGAGTTGACAGTGTACACAGAGTTGACAAAGCACACAGCGCTGCAGGGCAGGGCCCGACTGGCCATAGGGCAAACCGGGCACTTGCCCGGTGGGCCGGGCCGGGCCAGGCTGAACACAATCAACCTGATTGTGTTCGGGCCGTCCGTTAAGCCCGATGGCCGGCTCTGTGCAGAGCTGTGTCTACTGTGTGGTAGCGAGCCGGCACTACCACACAGTAGACACTAGAGGGCGCTGGTGGAGGAGGCCAGAAAAACACCTCCTCCCCCATCTCTCTCTACTGTGTGCTCTTTCCGGAGCTTGCTGGTGCTGTTCCTGCAGCCTGCACTGTCCTAGCGGCCGAGATATTAACATATGAATGGGCCGCGGTAATTTGCATATCAATAAGCCGCGTCCCATTCATATGTAAATATCACGGTTCATTCATATGCAAATCGCCACCCCTCCCCCGCTGCTAAGGAAGAGAAGACTGCAGGAACAAGGTATGTGTATGGTCAGGGATTTACTCTCCCTGCTGCCCCAAGGCCAGATTCCACAATGCGCCCCGCCAACCCCCCTCCCATCAATGGAGAATGGCAGGGGCTGCATGGTTAGTTTTGACTTTTTTAATTGTTTTTTCCCCTTTTATTAGCACTATTTATCATCCAGGTCATGGTATATCTGTAAAAAAGTCAAGGCAACTGGACTTTCTGTATTTTTCTTGAAGACGTTTTTCTGGTCATCGAACCAGCTTTCTCAATTCAGAAATTTCAGTTGCCTTGACTTATTTTTTTCAGATATTCTCTATAGCAAGCTTCCTATATTGTAGCAAGGCTTGTGTGTCAGCTGTAGCCTTCCGGTACTTACTAGTGGCCGGCCCTGCCCCTCGATTGTGCTTCTATGATTGGCTCCGCCCCCTGTTGTGAGGGGTTGGGCCTGTTGGTGGTCACATGATTGGGCTGCTCAGTCTAAACTGCCCGGGCCTATTTTTAGTCACAGTCCGGCCCTGCTGCAGGGCATGTTGTTTTGTGCATTGGGGCACATTGCAGCATGCTGTACTCGGCAGCCCATTCAAAATGAATGCTGCAACAACTTCAAATCAACAAAAAATAGGCGCAGCCTGCATTTTTTCCTGCTAAACACAGTGAACACCATCCATTATGCACTGTGGTGCATTGCAACGATTATGCATTGGGGTGGCATTCACAATACATTTATTACACATTTAGTGTAAATAGGCCCTAGGAAGCTAATGGTTGAAGAAACCCACAAGACCAGACATAATTTGTACTCAGTTTTATTATAAAAATAAAATATGGACACAATGTGTGCTGCAAATATTTGTGCACAATTACATGTCAGATTTTGCTTTACTTTCCAATTACATCGATCTGTAGACATTATATTTATGGATCCCAAAACTGTACAGTTGCTTCATGTAAAATAAGAATAAGAAAAGAAGAAGGCATGTTGTGGAACCCATCAGTTATATGTAAATACTATTAAATGTGAGAGTTCATTTAAAGCACACCAAAGTCTAAAACCAACAATTTTTTGCATAACAGCCATGTTTAAATAAGGAACAGTTTAGTAGTAAAGGACAGAATTAGGTAGTGTGTGAGTTTGCCTTAAGCAGTGTTTCTCTGTGAGTGGTTCTCGTTAATCACTGAGAATCTAACAGCCAGTTAGAATATTTAGAACTTTATCATATAACAGTCAACACCATTATCATTTCCAGTCATTACCTTCCACAAAAAAACTACAGCTCTGTTTGACTTCCAGTTCCTGGTTTAAGATTCACATTCTTAAATTCTTCAGTAAATAATATCTTCTTGTTATACAAGATAATTGTTGGTGGGCTTTATTTTTGACAATCTAGAAGGCAGCTGTAAGGTTAGTTTGGCTTGATGTGTTAGTTGTTTTGTTGCTTTGTGAATCATTATTCTCATAATCTTCCTCCCTAAAGGCTCTTTGGAGGGCTTCCTGGATCGAGTGAGGGCTCTTTTGTTTCCATTTTTCCCCAACAATAAAGTAAATGTAGGGGTTTGCGGTGCAGTTAAGTACTGTGGAAAACACTGTTGCATAGAATAGACTTGTAGTCGTCAAATCAGTTTGTAATAATCTGAAGAACATTAAGAACCACACAAAAGTAAATGGAAGAACTGATAAGATGAATACAAAAACTGCAATAATGATGACGATATACAGTTTAGGTGTGTATCGCTGTGTAAATGTCCTCTTTACTTTGGCAAGCAAGGTGAAACTGGAAATGACCATAATTGGTAGGCAGATCCCAATGGCTAAAACAAAAACTATTATTTGAACTGCTGAACATGCTATGGTTTTAGCCATGAAAGCTTCTGTTGTACACACTAGGTTCTCAAGGAGACTTTCCAAACACCCAAGGATCCAAAGAGCAGTGCACATAATAGTGGACAAGTTCCTAGGCCGATGACTTTGATACCAAAAGGGGAACAGGACAGCGCTACATCTTTCCATGCTGATAGCTGTAAGGATAAACATTCCGGAATACTGCATAGTATCAAAAAATATTTCTATGGATAAATATAAATTCTCCTTCCCTATAAAGTCAGGATCTGTACCAACGAGTGTATTTATATTGACCATCAAAAGCAACATAGTAAATATAATAAACAAGGCATCAGCTGCAGACAGATTCATAATATAAACTGTGTATTTGTTTCTCTGGATCTTGAAGCGTAGGTACCAAAACACAATAACATTTCCAACTAGGCCAACAATACAAAGACATAGCGCTACAGCAGCCACTATGGTAAAATGTATGTAGGAGTATTCGTTATAGCTGCTAGGGGGTTCATCCAGGGTGTCATTCATGCTTGTAATATTCATCTTTTCTTTGGTATAAGTATATATTCCAAATGTGTTGTTGAAACGTATCTTCTGCTTCTTCAACCTGTGTTAAATAGATTACCACAAATAATTATTAGGAGAGAGAGAGAGCGAGAGAGAGAGAGAGTAAAGGCAAACAGGCTGTTCACTTTGCAAGGGAATTTGCACTTTGCAGGGAAAGTTTGCCTTAGGTTAGTAAATGTGGTGAATATTCACTTTGCAAACAATACCTGATTATAAACAAGGTAGATAAAAGAAAGCAAAAATGGAGGCAAAAGTGGGTATTTCTAAGTCTAAAAGTAGAAAATTCCGACATGGGGCACATTTTATTTGGAACATTAAGTGGAACCAAAACTATTTTTCTAGCCTCCATTCACACCTGAGCGTATGCAATTCAGCACGTTTCACCCTTTTTTTGCGCTTTCATACACACGGACAAAAACGCACCTGAAACTATGTGATTATGGCTTCTGTAAATCAACATTAAAGATGGCCATACAACTATAGATTATCTGCAAATTTTCTATGGTCAGATGGAAAATATGCAACAGATTCCTCTCAAAATACCTGAACAATGCCTGCATCCAATAAGATTGTTCAGGTTTTTTTTACAGCCAGCGGGGCTGACCAGCAAGCCTTTAGTTTAGTATTATAAACTGACATTGATCATTAAGAAATCTACGATTAATACAAGCCTATTATAAGATGGTATTAAATAAATGAACTTTGCACGATATTCTAATTATTCGAGTTTCACCTGTACAGTCACACAGCTAGGACGTACATAGGTAAACAGCAATGAGGTAGCACACATTGGGAAGGGGGTTTAACACCGCAGACTTCAAGTGGTTAAGCAGTCTATAGATGAAAAAATACTTAGATTCAAATATGAATTGGCTTAAGAGGAATAAAAGAATGGGCCAATGCAAATAACTTATACGACCTCGTGCTTGGATGAATGGGAGTTTGAAATAGACTGATGTCCATTATGTCCTTGAAGATCTGAGAGCAATGTCAGTTCACTAGTTAAAATTAGATTGAAGTATGCCAAGTAGGAATTTACTTGACTCAGTAGTGTTGTAAAACCCATATTGAGAGTATTGAACCTCATTACGTCAATGTGTAGTGAGAATTGAACATCCATGTACATGACTTTATAAGGTTAGCTTATAAAAAATTTCAAAGTTAGAATATAGATATAAGGAGAGGGGACGGGTGAGATAGTGACAGGGCTGCAAACTGCAGCCTTTGTTTACTTTTGTGACAGCTGTGATTTGTCACAGCTAGATCGCAAGGTATAGAGCCGATTTTACTGGCTCTATACCTTGTTATGGAAACAGCACTGTCCAATGGACAGTGCGAGCACAGTTGCCGGGTTGTGATCGCGCCGGGAGCGCGCCTGAGCGGGGGGCGGGGCGTCTAGAGACGCCCGCTCAGATCGAGGAAGGTCCTGGCCGGCCGTTTTTCTACTACGGCCGGCCCGGAGGCAGTTAAGGAGGGCATTCATTACAGGGTTGCACTACATACCACACTCACATCACAAGAGGAAGAACACTTTGCTATTACAGCTGTTGAGACTTTTAGTCTTGAATCCTCACAAGCCAGACAAACTTACTAGACTATACACAAGGAAATCAATTCAAAAATCACTAACCTTACATTAACTTTGAACTATATTTTGAATATCTTTTTGTTTATTCATTTTTGTAACTTATGTGTATTTATTTGACGTTATGCTATATGATAAAGTCACACAAGTTTTCATTCAACTGGAAGCTCTTCTGCATTTCACATGATCACCTTAAAAGAGAACTATGGGGTAAGTGTCTTTCCCCATAGTTCTCCTAAGGGTCACGGGAGGACATATACTAGCATCCTCCCATGACCCAAAACTCAGTATATCGCGAGCTACAGCTCATGGTATACTGAGACCGCCGCAGCTGGGATGGATCCCGACAATGCTGTTGAGATCCACCCAGCCGTGTGAATGACAGCTGGCTCTGCCTATCTAGAGGCAGAGCCAGCTGTACCCGCCCCCTCCCCCGTCCGTCTCTTCAGTCATCGCTGGAGGATCGGAGCATGGAGGGGGGGAATCCCTATGGCGCTCTCTGCAGGAAGATGATCGAGAAGTGAGTGAGCGACAGTATGCGTTCGCTCACTTCCCGATCAATTGAGCCGACAATTTCATTGTCACACGTCGGCTCGAACTATGAGGATCAGTGATTTTCACTCACCTCATAGTTCTCCTTTAGGACACTTATAAAATAAATGTCATCAGGAAAAAATATCTAACAATAGACATGAGATGATATAGTAGTTGCTCAACACAACTGTTTTTGGCTATACCTGTGGATGGTTTAATGTCTGTGGTTGCAGACAGATACCCACTAGCCATCAACTCTCGGGGAGAACACTTGGTAACAATTGGGTAAGATAGAAAGCCTGTCCTGATCACTATAGTTCTCCCCTGAGATAAGTGGCCCAGTCTGTTCACTGACAGTAATGATTGGGGTTAGTATTGTGACTACAGACACCAATCTCGGGGATTATTATAGTGATCACGGCACCAATGCTGGGAGTTATTATTGCGATGACTGACACCAATGCTGAAAAAAGCAGGAATCACCAGCACTCAATAAGTAATTTTCAAATGGTAGATGTCCATTTAATCGGACATAACTTCACAAACAGAAGAATTAACGTTTCGGGGGCCGCACAGAGTCCCTTCATCAGGGTGATAATGTGACAAAAGGTTGGCTCTTCTGTTTGTGACGTTATGTCCGAATAAATAGACGTCTACCATTTGAAAATTACTTATTGAGTGCTGGTGATTCCTGCTTTTTTCACTATTGATGTGCACGGTGCCATCCCTGATTCTCACTGCGAGCACCACCATTACAATTCGGGCCGGGAACGCTGTAAGGAGTGCAGAGGGACTTTCCATTCCCTACGTTGACATCAATGCTGGGGTATAATTGCTTATTATTGAAGGCACTGACACAAATGCAGAGGGTTATTTTGCAGTCACAGACATCAATGCTGGGAGTTATTCCTAAGGCCACTGATACCAATGATGGTGCCTATTTTACACCCATTTTCTCTTCAGTGTGTAAAAAATACAGCATTACCAAAAATGATTGTGTGTTAGGAACATGATAACCCATTCTTTTTGAATAGGCTACCTAACTTGATGCAATGTACTTCAACACATGGAAATACACTGCTATTGAGTGGCCCTGTCAGGGTGTCAGGGGCCTCACTTAAGGCCCTCTCTAATTTTCAGGTTGATAACCACTGCTATAAGCAGTCTATAGACATGAGATGATACAGTAGTTGCCTAACACAACTGTTTTTGGCTATACCTGGTGATGGTTTAAAGTTTATGGTTGCAAACAGATTGTCAGGGGGCCGGGTATGCTGGATCTCAGCTGCGGAAATTGGAAGGTTTGTTCTAGGAGAAGGTGGTTCAGTGGGCGGTTCCCCGTTACACTCAGTGCGGCGGGGATACCGTACGCATCATATGCCACCTGACCCTGTCCTATTAACACCCTTCTGTAGGGTAGAGGCTCCAGTACAGGGTGTCTATTAATTAGAATGCGGGGGAAGGTTGACTAAATTCTGAGTGGTACCTATTAAACAAGTACTGAATTATATCACAATTACCAATATGATTATTCGTGAGCATCAGCTCATGGTGGAGTGCCCCTTAATAACACTGTACACCAATATCAGGGTATGGAAGAGCAATTGCTACCTGTATAACAGATGGTGGTTTGATAGGCTCACAGTAAAATAAGTATGCACACTAAGTTAATATCACATGTGGTCTAACTGGTCTATATAGCCCAGTTATTCGCTATGGAGAGCTATCTATTGCGTTCGTATAGGTTCCATACAGTTCAGAGATAATGCCACAGAGACACAACACGCATAGATCACAGGTGTGCAGATATGCCAAGCAGCTGAAGCAAAGTTATGTCTGTCTTATCAGATCCAGGTACTTGCGCTTAGATGTGGTTCACACTGGAGGGGAATTGGAAGGCTTCCTGGTTGGCAGTGATATGCAGGACCTCTGATACCGGTCAATGGCTGTGTCAGCGGCGTAGCACTCTCTAGACAGCAGGGTGTCTGAGAGTGTAAGTTCAGGGCAGAGCTGGCGGGTTCACTGTTCGTTACTTGACACTCAACAACAAGAGAACGCCGAGTGAACGAAACAGCTGCGGTTTTACGAGCGGGACCGCGCCCCGTGGGAGGAGCTGGGCATGACGTCAGCACTAAGACGGCGCGCCGGGGGACCGAGGGAACGCGCCGGGCGAATCCATGACACAGATAACCACTGGCCATCAACTCTCAGAGGGAACACTTGGTAACAATTGGGTAGGATAGAAAGCCTGTCCTGATTACTATAGTTCTCCCCTGAGAAAGGTGGCCCAGTCTGTCCACATCACTCACCTTCTACATCTGCATTGACAAAAATAGTTGGGAAGGAACTGAATGAACTGTCTTTCCTTCCAGCAGAAAGGAGGAACAACAACAATTCATACATTACTCATAATCTCATCAGTCTCTTTAATGTCTGTCGGGGGACCGCACTCACTGGGAAGTAAGGCTCTGGGGTTTCTCCATGCAACAGGAGATGGGTTCAGTGCAGGACTGCTCCCAGGTTGTGGCCCTCTAACACACTGTGCAGGCATAGTTGACAGAATATTGCAGAGGCTACGAGATCACTAGGAGAGCTGGTAGAAGTAGTGAAAGACACTTTTAGCAGAGGGATTTAGGATGTGTAGGCTCAACGAAAGAGCCAGTTGCAGTGCTAGCTTTCAGAATTCACTAACTCAAAGAGGAGGAAGTCCATTGCAGCACTAGGGTTCAGGTTTCACAGATTTACAGAGCAGAAAATCAGTTGCAGCACTGGGGTTCACAGTACACTGGTTCACACAGGAGAAAGTCACAGCGGTGTTAGAGCTGAAGGCCTACTAGAATTA